AGAATAGCTTTCTATTTTGTTGTATTTAGGTAATAAACAGTTACTTGGAAACAATATGAGGAATTTGCTCTTTGAGAAGCAATGAAGCAAAACTGTTTAAGCTTTAAAACCTTGATGAAGTTTTCAGGCTACTGGTATTAGTGCATTGTGACTGTCATTTTTCTCTGTAGCAATTAGCAAAGATTCATAGATGTACAAATAAACTGGTAAGTAACGTGTTGTCTTTTTCTACAGTTGTAGCCATCATCTTCTATTTCGTCTTCTCTCTGCTAAGCAATACCTGTAGTAAGTTTTTGTACCATCATCAAAGTCTGTGATCGAAACAAGGATAGAATTGAATAATTCATTGCCTTGTCCACAAGCTCTCATTCACTCCGTGGTTTCTATCATATCACTGAGTAGTGAGTCTTTACAGACAACAGTCACCTTTGATTCAGACCCTGATATCTATGCCCAGAAGGGTCTGAAGGATGTTACACTGTGATTCATTTACATGAGGGAGAGAGAACTTATAATGTCACATCCCACATGCTTGAAGCATTCAGGTGATATGAGGAAGAAGGAGCATAGATTTATATCTGGCTTTTCTGTCTCCTGCATAAATATTCTTGTTATCATGGTATCTGATGTGTTACAGACATAACTTCTTTTTTTCAGTTTCTCTTAAAGGAACCTGGAAAAAAACAATTTAGTTCCTCTCAGAAGGTGAAATCTTGAACAGTTTTGCATGAGAGGAAAATGGTTTTCTATGTGACTGTTAAGAGAGTATTAGAACATGTCATCAGCCCTTCCCCTGTCCTGAGATAAAATGAGGCTATTCCACAAGCAGACAGAAGCAGGGAAATGTCTTGATCCTCATGTTAACAGAGATAGGTATTTACTGCACTTGTTTACCAGGTGCTGAATACATCACTGTGGAAGACATGCATATAATTTTAGGCATGTCCCTCAAGGAAAACAGTAGGAATTATGGACTGGTTGGAAATGCTATCTTGCATGCTCATGTTTTTTTCAGACTGCAAGAGTTTTACTTCATGCTTTATGAAAGCAAGTTGTGCGGAGAGCCATTTCAGGGGAGGGCTATGCCTATTTTTAGTAAAATTCCAAAAAAGGGAAACAAAAAGAAAGACGGAGGCTTTGGAATATATCTACTCTCACAATTTCACCATCAGGGTGAAGGAGCATCACAACTAAATGTCCCACAGCTATCAGCCTTTAGAAGGAAAGGATCTTTCCCTTTTTCAGTTTATGTCCCGAAACTCAGACACAATCTCTTTAAGAGGCAAACCTGCCTATAAAGTTATGTAAATACCAGCCTTGTAATGTTTACATTAAGTTGTTTCTAGAAGGCAGATTCATTTAAGGAGGGAATATTATGTCCTTTTTTTTTCCAGGCTGGTTTTCAGCTTCAGCCTGTTTCAATGTAAATATCAAAAGAGAGACAAACTGTCTTTTTTTTTTTTTTTTTTTTTAAAGTAGCAGAGACAAACTTGAACTCATGTTTGGCTCAAGTATTTTAATGAAAACAACCATTTGACCTTGTCAACTTTTGGTAACCTTACTAGATTTTTTTTCACTAGCTGTCTCCTGCAGCTTTTGAAACAAAAGTTGCATTTCAAAAAGGTGCGTGAGATGAGCTGGTATTCTTAAGGAAGATCTAAGAATGGTGGAGTGTATGCTATTAGCCAAATAAGTCAGCTTCACAGACCCAGCAACTCATCCTTGTATTCATCCCATTCCACACTGCTCCTGTCTTTCATTTTTGCTCAGGGCTATTTGTATCTACAAAACAGGATATTCAGCCAGACCTCCAGCAACCCTTTGCAGTCCACATGGTTTGGTGAAGTCCAGTGACAGTCTGTATATCCTTAGTTAAGTTAATGTAATGTCCTGGTGGGTAAAAACTAATTACTAAACAAAAATTTTGTATTTCCATATAAAAAGCAGTACCCTAGCTGAATGAGGGCATGGGTTCATTCATGTTCTTTGCTTTGCTGCTAGGGAAATCTTCATTGAGCTGAGAGGCTTTTAAACTGTCTAAAGCATAGCCCTTAGTTGTTCCAGTGCTAGGAGAGACACCATGCTTGTCCCCTTACATGGTAAATATAATACCTGGTGGTTCATTATACATCCTACTCTGCATAGAAGCATTATTCTTTAACAGTGATGATCTGAACGTCACTGAGTGTCGTTGTGAAAGAACAAATTATGGTACTGGGATCCCTTCTGTGATGAATTGCAAGTGGCTGACAGTAGGCAGAGAAAAATTAGAGGGGTATATAGAGGGGTATATTCCTGGATATATAGATATTCATTCTGTGCATGTATTGTACAAAGGCAGAGAATGACATTGTCAGTCAGGAGGAAAAAATAAGTCTCAGATATTAAGAAGCAGAATGCAATGTGAACATTTGGAGAGTGTGATAACTTCACCAGAACCTTGCTTGTTAACTGAGGTACTGCAGCAAATATACATTGTAGGCCAAGCAATGATAGCTGAGTGAAAATCACGCTGGATTAATGAATTTGCTTTTCTTTCTATTTGTCTTCAGTGACATTTCTGAAAAATAGCAATAGTATCTGCAGCACAAGATGGCACTTGACAAATGGTGCTTTTTGCTCATCATTGCTGTTCTTTGTCTGTATCAGGCTTAACTGAGTGTGGAAGTTACCAAATTCATGTTGTTGCTTTAGCTGGTACTAAAAGCCATTACAGTTCTGAGGAGATACCCAACAGCTGTTTCATTCTCAGTTGAGAGGAGAGCAGAGAATCTGACGTCAAATACAATATAAAATATATTCTTAATAATTTAAATGCAAATGAAAGGCGGATGATAGGCTGGACTCTACAGCCCTTACAGCTGTCACCTGCTCATATAAGTAGTTTCACCTACATAACTGTGCCTACAGCCTGAAGTAAGGGTTTCACCTCAGGGTGTGACCATACAATGACAAAGAGGAAAGCTACTTTGAAAACACCACTTGTTGCTTTTGCTCATGCAGCTTAGGCAGGAAAGAGGATCTAGAAATATATTTGCTGTCGCTTACTACAGCGGCCAGAGAACATCAGTCTGTGGCCCAAAAAGTAATGTGTCCCTTTAATGAGCAGTAGGCCTTTGAAGGCCTCCATTTAAACAGGGTCAAGCCCACGTGGAAGACAAGGCAGGACATCTCATGCTGTCCATACTTAGCTCATGTCCTGGTGGTCCAGTTATACTAGGATAAACACCTGACAAGTACTAACTTAAACCTTTAACTAGTTCTGTTGAGCTGACAGTCAAGAAAGACTTATTTGGGAAATATTCAGCTATTCTTTTTTGACTCAGCCATAAGAACTGCAAGACTAGCCTACCTCTCTTGTTATTGTGTTTCTGGTTCCTACAAAATCAATAAAGACCCAGCATATAAAAGCTAAGCACACTTTGAGAGAAAATTACTGTGAAATGCAAGTTTACAGAAAAGGTGGCAAAAACTTCTATATTCAGTGCATAGTGAAATATTCTCCAGAATAAACTGAATAAACTCTGGTGTTGACAGCTAAACCATTATAAATTTATTAAAGCATTTGGTCTTTTAATAACATATAGCACATCAAGTACTATCTCCAGTGACTTTTAAACTTAAAATCAGTCTTCACATATGTCTGTTGTTTGATCTATAACATTAGACTCCCATGGTGGACTCGTAACCCATGACTCTTATGCATGGGGCATCAGGTGATATGCTCCCTGGGTATGGTGCACAGCTTGTAGTTTGCTGTAGCAAAGCCAGGTAAAATAAACGGCTCTTCTTATTGGTTTAGTGGATTTGTGGTTTATTTGGTTATTTTTTCTTTATGTTCTTGCTACTTTGAAATAATTTAAGTGAACAACGAACCAAACATTTCAAAACTTTTGAGACTTCTATGGTTATCACTAGGTACCTATGCATATTCTACCAGATATTCAAAAGCACTTAGTAGACATTGCTTCCATTGGAGACAATAACATCTTAAAAGCCAGACCACTTCAATCAAGCTGCCTACTTGAGCAGAATAAAATAGGAAATATTCTTTCACAGCAGAGGCCATCCTCTGACAAGAATGTTTAGGATAGCACATGAAAAGAGAGTGCTCTAAAAGGAATGAGTTTCTCCAGTTCTGGAATTCAGCCGTTTGAAGGCATCTGGACTGGGACTTTTAATGACCACCACTAGACTTAACTCCTATGAATCTGTCCTGTTGAACCTATTTATGTTTTCATCTTGTGAAATGTTACTTGTTTGTGAATGTAGATTATGCATGCCATATTTAAAAATACTTTTGTTGCTTTTCTACCTGCCGCCTGATAATTTGAGTGGCCTCTAGTTCTTGTTTTGTGAAAAATAGTTAATAGTAATTTCCTAACTACCTGTCTTCTCTACTGTCTTTCCACCTAGCATTCACAATTTGTAGAACATTGTCTTCCCAAAATTCATGTGCAATAGATTTTAAATTCTGGCCATATATTTTGATGTCATGTCCCTTTCTTTTGTGAATACAGCAAAAAGTTGTCCCAACCTAAGGAAGTGAATGAAGCAGAGGGGTGAAACTAGTATTTACTGCCTGTATATTGGTGATTCTTTGCTAGCTCACAAGTGATATAAGAAGCAGTTTGTGGTGTTAACTACCCTAGTTTTAACTGTTATGCTGGAAATATGAGCAGAAATTCAGTATGAGATGGATCTTGGCCTGGTGTTTTCAACCCAGTTAAACTGCTAAAATAAATGGAGTATGAAAGATTATGGGAGATATGCAGCAGACATCTTTGAGTCTTTCAAAACAACTGTGAATACTCTGAGGATCATTTGGGATAACATAAGTGGGTTTAAAAAGTATTTTTAATTCTTCCATTCAATATGCTGAAAGAATATGTTATATTTTCAAGTGCCAACGATGCATTAATATGGTTGTAAGTTTTGCAGTTAATCTGTTACCTTCCAAAGCTCACCTTTGAATTAAACTTCTTTTTTTTTTTAACTAGGTGAAGCAACAGTGAAGAAGAAACCAGCTCCAAAGACTCCTCCAAAAGCAGGTGATTTGTTGCGCATGTCATCCTGTAGGAATAAATAATAAACCGCATTTCTAAGTACAGCTCTTTGCCTACTAAATTTGTTTGCACATGTGATTAAACATGAGTAAATGATTAAATGTAGGTAAGTAAAGTCCCTTTTTCAGACTTGTTCATAAGGTTTTTCTTATCACTGTGCCAAGACTTAAATTCTAGCACGTGAAAAAGTTACTGTTGAGTAAACTATAACAAGACACTACCAAATGTCAGCAGTAGAGTTGTAACTCATGCCCTTTTCTAGATTCGCAACATAACTTGCCCTTCAGCGAAAGAGATTTTTCTGTGTATCACAGAATGTCACCTCTGCATGAGTAGCTACTACAGAGAAGTTATAGAGTCTACTTTTCCTTCTAACCGGCATTATGGTAACCTGCTCATGTCTTTGCACTCTCCTAGGTGAAGCTATCTATATTTAAAGTTACCCAGGATGTTCCTCTAGAGGAACCTGCTTTCAGTCTTGTAAAACCTTGTCATATTTAAACTGTTTTCTCTGCCAGATATGTGTTTCAGACTAGTTTCCGTCAGGAATTTAAAAAAAAAAAAAATTTCCAAACAAGGGGGAATGCAGTGGGGGGATGTCTGCCATCTGCCATCTATTGATATTCAGGCAGTGAGAGGGAAGAGGAGAAATACCTGATTCAGAAATAAAGCAGCATGAATGCATTCATGAATGCTGAATTTAAAGAAGCACTGTAATATACACAAAAAAGGATCTGTCATTGCTCACAGGAAAATGGGGTGTGATGGAGCAACCATTTCCTTCCTTGTCTCTCTAATAGATGTCCCAAATGATGTTTACCTGGCTATAGAAGCCAGAATCTTCACAGGCAAGTGTAGAGTCTTGAATTTTCTGAATGCTATTGAAGACATTAAGGAGCAGGTTTGCAAACTCCCTCAGCACACAGAAATGGATAGGAAGTCAGCTGGAGCCATTCTTCAAAAATAAAAAGTGCAAAATAAAAATTCATTTTCTGAAAAACCCAACACAAAATTTCATAAGCTGTATATTTGGAATTAGTGGTTGGTCTTAACACTCTTAGCCTTTGGACTTCTGTACTTTGGTCTGATATGAGCAAACTTCTGATGGGTAGATTGTTATTGCTTCACTACAGTAGAATTAACAACATCCACAGAATTGTTTCATTGCAAGCAATGGGTAACTTCTAATCTGGATTTCAAATCCTGCTGTGAAACTGTTGAGCTGAGAGATGTAAATGTTTTGGATTTTAAGAAAAATAGAAATTATAGTCACCTAAAGGGTTTTTTATTCTTTTTTCCTCAGCTGCTCCTCCTCAGATTACTCAGTTCCCAGAAGACAGAAAAGTCCGTGCAGGTGAATCAGTGGAATTATTTGCCAAGGTGGTAGGAACAGCACCCATAACCTGCACCTGGATGAAATTCCGTAAGCAGGTAAATTGTTTTCTGGTCTGTTTTAGCAATCATTGAAAAAGTAGAGCTAGAAAGGAACATCAGCAACCCACCTCGTCTATCTCCCTTCCTCAGGAAATTACAAAGTCCGTGCTATTCCTGCCAGATATTTTTCTCACCTCTGCTGAAAGCGTTCCAGTGATGAAGATTTCACAATCTCCACGAGAAACCTATTGACATGTTTAAATACTCATAGTGTCTGAAATTTTTTCCTAATGCCAAAACCAACTCTTTCTTACTACAGTTTAAACCTGTTGCTGTCTGTCTTCTCCTATAACAAATGCCTGATCCTTTGAGAAAAGCCTGAGACCAGGTAATTAAAGAATAGGTGATGTGAAAGACATGGGTATCAGAAAAATATCTGTCACAGGAAACGTTTCTCTCCTTCAAAAATAACCTCTTCCTCACTGATGTTTGGTCTAAAATTATGTCAGAGTACAAAACATCATATAAGAAGCTTGAGTGAAATGTCTTACAGCACAAACGTCACCATGCAAGGCACAAGACTTTGTTGTTGTGAATGCCCTCACCCCTGGGTTTAAAGTTCCTTCTACTTGAATTAATTTCCTTCAACTATATCATATGTGTCCATCCATAAGGGCAGTTTCTAAAGAGAGTTGCTTTAGCGAACAATAAAGCTATTTTACATCTACCCAATATGCAAGTGCAAACTGGAAGATGAACTGCCCGGTTAGAATAGAGGAAATATAAATATGTACTGTAGCTGCTCTTCTCTTTATTTCATTCTGAACTTGTTATGCACTCTATAGAACATAAATAAAAACATCTCCTACAAGGAAGTTTAGACTCCAAATCCAAATGTGTCAGCATTTAGCTGAAAGAATTCAAAACAATTTGCTAGTGCAAAGGCTATTCCAGGGTCCATCTTTGCTAACCCCAAATAACTTCTTCCTTTAGGGGAAAGGGTATATTTTTCCTGAACTCCTGTATTTTTTAAAATTCTTTAGTTTCAAGACTGGAGTTAAAAACCAGGGTACTTATTGCTTCTAGATCTCAGAAGCTCCAGTGACATTCAGTGTCCTGTTTTGTTGAGCTCTGTTTTAACACATGGGTAAAATGTACCCCTCTAAATTCTGGTTTGTGCATAATTCCAAACTCATTGTTGAATGCAATAATACTATTTGCATAGGTTTTGAGGCCATTTTTATATACAAAATCTCTGTGATAACAAAGACCAGCAGCTCAAAATACCTGTATCAGTTCCATAATCTGTGATTCTACACCTTTTTTCCTTTGTAGAATCTTTTTTACTATCTTTATACTTTCTTCTTTAGTTACCCACTGTGAGACAACCTAGTGGTTTGCAAAATTGTACATTAAAAGAACATTTAAAAAATTAATAGTTTATTATGGCAAGTGAACAAGGTAGACAAGAGGAGACTTCAGGAAGGTAAATAAACACTGCAGGAGGACAAGCAAGGACACTAATCTTTCTTTTATTAAATTAGATGGGAAGCCAGTCATTATATACTGTGCTGCACCATTATTTTGCTTTCAATTTCACTTACACTTCCCCATATATTGTTTTATTCTTTGATTTCTTTCTCTTCCATAAATGTGGTTGAACTGAACTCTATTCCATCCCCAGTCCTAAAAGTGAAAACCACCAGAGCTTGCAGTTGTTCTTACAATTTTCTTAGGGGTTATTTGTAGTAGTTATTTGAGCAGATCCTGTAAATGGCAGGTTGTGATTTCAGCGCTGCCACTGTGTGCTGCAGTGTGCAGGAGGGACTTGTCCTCTCCATGTTCCTTCCTCACATTCCCTCAGGTTCCAGAGATCCACAGAGGCCTCTCACAGGTATATTCTGGACAAGTATCTTTTGCTTGAAGAAAAAGACTGTCACCAGTTTGTCACCCTGTACATGACAGCAGTCCAGTGGAGGGATGCTGGCACTCTGCTCAGCTAAAAAGAAGAAAGCCTTTGAAAGCCTCTGCATTAATTGAGCAACAAAGTCCATCCTTTAACGCTGCCAGTTGTTGGACCTTCTTAACTACGGCCAGTGACTTTCTTCTGGGAACACAGGGATCCAGCTTCCTGTTCCTCACAACCAGTGCAAGCCACCGAGCCTCCTATCGGGGCTTTCTGTGCAGTAACACAGATCTAGTTCTACTAGACTGACTTTTTCATTGCTATTACCCTTTAACTAATTCTAATGAAGCAAAGCATATAAGCCAGTGTAGAATCTCAGAACAAAGTACAAGGGCAGGGGCAATGACTTTCAGTGTAATTTAAACTGCAATGCTACATAATCCCATTTGCTAACTTTCTATTTGAGTTACTGTAGGAGCATTTTTCTCAGGTTACTTTTGGGCATATAGCATGTGTCCTATCTCAGCTGAGGAGAAAGCAGGGAAAGTCCTGCTCTTAGCCTTGCAATTTCTTATTCTCTGAATATATGAGACAAGATAAGGCAAACAAAATAGCCTTCATTTTTAATGACATTCTAAGAATGAGTTGGAAGAGTAGCTTATCTAAAAAGGAAGTGGTGGGAGGAAGAAGGGCATTGACATTATGTTGTCTGTTTTATAAGAACACAGTGTACGGCTTCTATAACTGCAGTGTAGCATTATGAGGTTTTTAAATAATCTGTCATGTCTCAAGCTAATACTGATTAAAATCTAAGTCTCCTTGGCCATTTATGCTATGATAGCTTTGTTTCAATTAAAACCTAGTTCATAATACGCCCATGGTTTTCAGCTGAGATTTTGATTTTTGCCTCTCCAGAAAATGAAAACGCTATAAGAAAGCTAAATCTGCTCTTTGTGTGTCTCTCTACATTGCTGTAGTATTATATCTCAATTTCAGGCAACATCATCTTCAATTGTTCAAACCCGAGAAATGTTATGTGGAAATGATATGTTCTATGATAGGACAAGGGGTAATGGGTGCAAATTGGAGCATAGGAGGTTCAAGGTGAATATCAGGAAAAATTTTTTCACTGTGAGGGTGACGGAGCACTGGAACAGGCTGCCCAGAGAGGTTGTGGAGTCTCCTTCACTGGAGTCATTCAAAACCCGCCTGGACGCCTTCCTGTGTGATGTACTCTAGGTGATCCTGCTCTGGCAGGGGGGTTGGACTAGATGATCTTTCGAGGTCCCTTCCAACCCCTATGATTCTATGATTCTATGAAATACAGAGTAGGGCTGGCTAAAACAAGAGGCTGTAGTCACAGCGACGGATGATTTGCACATTGGGCCTCTAAAGGGCAATGGCAAATGAATCAGTGTATTTAGAGCTAAACCCTTGCTCCACTGTGATCTCTGTGAGATATGCAAGACCAAACTTTGTTCTGTTGCCAATTACATAGTTTGTGTTTTAAGCCTGTCAAAGAGGAGTTGGAAAGTGAAACTCCTGTTCTTAGTGGAGTCCCAGATACACCAACACTCCCTGTTGCCTTTGCAGAACTGGAGCCATTATAATGTTCCACTGCATTGCTAGATGCTTTGTGTTGATTACACGCTTTACCAGCTGCACATATTCACAGCTGTAATAGAATCATCTGCAGAACACTCAATATGATAACCTGGTATTGTAATCTGAGCTCTCTCAAGGAGATTTATCCCATTAAATCTTGTTTTTTTCTTTTGAATTGGGCAGATTGAAGAAAATGAATATATTAAAATTGAGAATGCTGAAAACAGCAGCAAGCTGACAATATCATCAACAAAGCAGGAACACTGTGGGTGTTACACCCTAGTTGTAGAGAACAAACTTGGCAGCAGACAAGCACAAGTCAACCTTACAGTTGTTGGTAAGTCCATAATATGTTTTAGATATATACTCATTCTTCAGACATTGCTCTACATTTGCTTTATATACGATGATGTGCAAAAAAAATAAATAAAATAATCAGATAAGTTAAGAAGACTGAAATAGAGCACTCTAAAAGTACCTTAAAATATCTAGACTGGACAGTGACATCGTAATGAAGATAATAAGCAACTTCAGTAGGGCTCTACTGTGCTTTATTTTGAAAAAAATGACTAATGGAAACAGATCTATCTTGCAGACTAATGTTTTAGCCAAATCACTGGTTTTGCTTATAGAAGTTCCTTAGCTTTCCCTGGATGTAGCTACAAAATAGCTCAGACTTCTTTTTTTTTTTTTAAAAAAAAACCAAACCAGCTCATGTCTCCATTTTTTTGATAGATATGACTTCTCTTTCCCATTTAATGTTTGCAGCATCCAGATGTTTGCTAGACTGCAATATTTAAAGCTGTTCATTCAGGAAGGATTGAGGTATTTTCTATTAGACTGTAAACTTAAATACATCCTGTTGCTCGGGGGAAGGAGATTTTATCCTTTTAATTGAAATTCCTACCATTGACTGCTGCTTTATAGTGACAGAAAGCAGTGAATAAAGGCACTCTTTTCTGAACATGGAGTACTTCGTATGTGGGCTTTTACACACGTATTTTAAAGCTTCTAAGAGCCTTGTCAAATGACACATTCTGGCCATCAAGGCTGTGGGCAGCTGCAGGAAGTTGTGACTGGTAGACAATTGCAGAATTTTCACAGATAAAACTGCAGCCTATAGTTCTGGGCCAGCTATCTTGAGTATCACAGAATCTAGAGCTGTGACATCAGGCTCTGAAAGGGGTCATGAACCCACCTTGGTGTGGACAAATGGTTTCCAGGGAAATCCAGGGAAGTTCTATAAGCAAAACCAGTGATTTGGCTAGAACATTAGTCTGCAAGATGGTCTGTTTCCATGCTGTGTTGCCTACGGCCTGCAGGATTTTGACAAAGGGGGTGGGGGTGTGCAGAGCTTGCCCAGGCATTTGGACTGATTTTGGTTCAGCTAGCAAGTCTGCATCCTATCCTAATCACACACTCATATCTGCACTGCTTCTGCTGTCCTAACAGATGTCTGGGCTAGTGAGCAAGTAAAGAAATGAGAGTGTAAAGCCAGAGATGAAAATCTGGCTCCACTGAAATCAGTGGCAAAATACCATCAACCCAAATTGGTGTGGAAATTTATCCCAACAACCCAGTGAATAACATAAAAAGTTTAATGAGTAGAATCCCACTTTCAGATACAATATCCACTGTTAAGAGTGAATGTCACACAGTTGCATACTGCTGTAAGTATTGTCAGTAGATGCTTCCTGATTATTTAAATTAATTTTTTTTTGTTTAATCTGTGGCTTTTTTTGTAGTTATCTGAGTGAATGAATATAAATATATGAATATAAATATCAAGTAGATTCCAGCAATCTGCCAGAGAATTCAAAAACAGAAGAAAATAGGATAGGTAATTTTCACATGATGCATAGATAAATTGTACTACCCCCGCAACAGTGGGCTGTGCAAGTCAGAAGTATAGGTAGGTTAAAAGTGACGCCGTGAAAACTTTGGCCTAATAGAATCATCCTGTACCTATTGTTGTGGGTAAAGCTTTTGGCTCCAAAGCCCCAGCACAGGTTATTAGCAGCTAGAAGAGTGGCAGGAGATTAATTGCTCTTTACACTTCCCTTTTTTTCACACTTTCTGAGCCAACTGCTGCAGATTATTGGGCAAGATGGATTTTCTTTTTAGCTGAACTAGACCGACAATTCCTATTATCTTTTCACTGTGTGAGCCTTGACTCATTATATAAGTCACTAGTCTGTATCCTTTGGAGTTAATTGATTTGAAAGTCTTTGAATTCTATAACCTTATAAAGCTACATCTCAGACTCCTGCTTTGGCCTTCCATAAGTAATGTGCCAGAGAACAATGGGATTCCCAGAGATGCTTTTGGGAGAGTTGGGTGAAGAATCCACACAATGTTCTGGATTTTGCCATGTGTTTTGGCTGGTGACAAGCTATCTGTTTCCAGCTGAAAAGAATAAATTCCCTCTTGTAAAATTGCCAGCCTCTTCTGTGAGACATCTCGCTGATGTCAGCACTGCCAAAGGCATGACAAAGCCTCAAGATTCCTATTTTGCTGCACAAGCATTTTAAAACCATCTTCCATCTGAGTATTCAAAAATGTGGAAAAAAGGAGCAAAATGTCTTCCTTCTAGGGAGTGACTTAGAGTCTCACTACTGAGATAAAATCCTTCACCCTGTAGCACCTTTAAAAGATGTTAAATGTTCATGAAAGTTGGAACCCTGCTCCAGTCAGAATAGGAAAACTGTGCTTCTCTAAATGCATAAAATGTGAGACCTCTTAGGCTAGTAAACATCATGCTTAGTCCTGAGTTCTCACCTGTCCATTCTCTGTTCTCCATCCAAAGTACTGGGAAGAAACTTGCCCTCCCTGTCCTGACCCCACATTCAGAACAAGCGTTGCTGGAGAAAGCCCTAGTGCTAGAGATCAGCTCTGTTTGCCTCAGTCATTTATAAAAAGGTTCTAAACAATGTGAGCTGTCTCCCTGTAAATTTACCAATAAAAGGCACATCGACATGTATGCTGTGTGCAAAACACTGCTGACTGACCACAGTCCACAGCTGAGTCTTGAATGTATTGAGGGAAATTACAAATACAGAACATCTGCTTTCTGGAGGAGTGTGTCTGAGCTGACCTATAGCTGAGTTTCTCAAAGGGCTAGCTAACATGCTTGTCTGTTCTGAATTTTAGTAAATCAAAGAAGTGTTAAACTATAAAATGAAATAAATATGGAATTAAGGAAGTATTTCTTTTTTATTAATTCTTATAACCATGTGGACTGCAAAGTCTTCATGCTGACAGGCAAGCTTCTCATGTGAAAGACTCCAATAAGCATTTCCCAAATTAAATTTGCACTGTAACACGTGCCAGGGAGCAGGTTGTCCAGAAAAATTGTGCGGTCTCCGTCCTTGGAGGTAGCTTTGAGTAGAAGGTCTAAAGACCTTCCTGAGGATATTTAAGGCCACCCTGGACCCTGGTTTTGTATTTTCAGTTATCAAAGACCTCTCTTCCCAAAAAAGTAATGCTATCGACTTACCTCCAATCAGAAGACAAAGGACTCAGCTTATCTGCCAGGAATCAAATCAGAAATGATCCTGCTGATTTAAACCCTGGGTCCTAGACTGCAAACTAAAGCTGGGTATCAGTTTAGAAATTATTTTTAATAATTACTTTTAGGGAAAAAAGCTACCTTGCATTACTTTGGCTCTTAAAAAATCTAACTGCTCACACTGTCAGACTCAGATTTCAACTGCAAGCTGAACTGAACTAAGCGGGGGTTCTGACACTTAAAGAGTTTGAATAGATTCAATGCAATTTGGGCCATGGGAAAAGATGCTCTGAAAGAAACCCAACTTTAATCTAAAGATTTTTTTTTTCCTTTGCAATTTAATTAATACCAATGAACAAAATGTTACACTCAGCCTCCAGTGTGAGCTGATTGCAGTCCACACACCTGGTGCAGTCAAGTTAGAGGAGACTTGTTAATTGATAGGCAGTGCAGTGTGGTGAGGAGTACACAGCCCTGAGCCACAAGGACCGAGTCTTGAGTTTCACATTGATTCGTTGTGTAACTTTGTCTGTGTAAGCATAACACTGGGAGACCTGCAACAGAAGTGAGGCATCCAAGTTAAGCAACGTCTTATTTTAAATGGTTCACTGGTCCCAGAATGTCCACACTGAGCTCTTCTCTATTGTTATAATTACCTCTCCTAAATAAGCCATTTCATTAGTTGAACGATCTCTACAGGGAGATTTTGCAACATGTTTCTGCTACAAAACCAAAATGTAATGATTTACAGCAGACGCTGCGTCAGATTGAAGTGGACTTGTGTTGCCAAACCTATACTAAATCAGCTTAGCTTAAGACAGGACTGGTTTAGGCAAGGTAGAACCCTCACTCTACAATGATAGCAAGGAATATTTATTCCTTTCATGACGCTTACTGGATGTATATGGGTAGATTTATTAAATTTATGGTTTTGAACATTTTAGCTACGTGCCAGTAATATCACAATCTATAGCCACTTTTGAAAAAGGAATAGTGGCACTGCTGGCATTTTTTCTGAGTGCCTTAGAAATCTGGCTCAGTGCTCACCACTCAGACTGAGTGGATCCAGCAGTGGTCAGAAACTGTGTGTTGTCTCTCTAGAAAAGCAAGTGCAGTTACCTGTGAAGGGTATAGCGAAGCAGACCAACCAAAGACGTTTCTACAGAGAACACTGCAGCTCAGAAGTACTAGGATGAATGCTTCTGAAATCTTATCTTCTTTTTAGAAGCATCAGATTATATCTTGCATCACCCATGTGATTCCCTGTTTACAGTTAGGGTCGAGAATGCAGTGAACTTCCTAAGAATATGTGGGTGGACACAGCCTCTAACCTTTAGCCTTTTAAATTCCTCAGGATTGCTGGAGGATTTTTGTTTTATGGCTAAAAGGCAATTCAATGGGTGGTTAAGGAAGAGGTATCTTACATTGCTGTTGTTGTTCCTGCTGTTGTAGTTCAACAGTGTTGTAACCTTCCCTGTCAGCCTCCCTGCTAATGTTTGGTGCCAAAACTCTCCAACTGTATCAAAACTAAATTTTTACAGCAAAATAACAATGTCTGGGGGAAAACCAATTTTTCATTGCCCTGTGCATCAATGCCAGTACACCAATCCAGATTTATTCCTTGAAGGGCCATCTAGTTGCAATGTCATTTCTGTTAGAAGAAATTCAAGTAGAACTCCCTGCTTAGTCATTTTTCCTGATACTTACCCTCACCTTTCTTCCGAAGAAGGAAAAAACTATGACAGTATCTCTCACAACAAAATTCCTGTATTTACCTGTTGCTAAATGCTAGGAATCTCTTAGTTACTAAGAAATTATTCATCATGACT